TATCTTATCTTTTTGGTGGTTTAAAATATTGTATATATAAATATTATTTGGGTGCATGCATATCCTCTCCTATAAGTGTCATGCTTCCTTACTTCAATCATTCATTCCAATCCTTTAAGATAGATTTCTATCATGAAGTAGAGAGAGAGAGAGAGAGAGAGAGAGAGAGAGAGAGAGATAACGAAGAAAAAGAAACAAGATGAAGAGCGTGTGTGTTTGTCTTGCAATATTTCATACTTATCATGGTGACTGGGTTATGTAATATGTTCTAAAAGTTCTTATTTTGTGACAAATGTGAAAATCATGGGTTTATTCTATTTACAAACCTCTCTCTATTTTCAAGTCAAACATGTCTAATTTGTGCAATATTATATATTATTTGGAGTTTTTGTGAAGTACGTATTATTCATGGAACATGAGAACTTCAGTGACGGGGTATCCAAAGGATAAATGTACCAGACGGGGACGTAGGGCAGTGAGGCCGATAGGGGTCACGTGCTAGGTACAATTTGTGAAGGATAACCAAGATATGAAGTAATAATGTGATATGACTTGGATTGTGTATCTTTTTATTATATTTTTCTAGAGTGTAAAATGACATTGCTTAACTGGCATATTACATAATCTACTTACTGAGCGGTGGTTTGCTCATCCCTCACCTATTATGTTTTTCAGATCAATTAGTGGGCAAGACAAAGCCGAAACCAGAGAAGTTGGATTAGTTTAGAGGATAAACTTTTATTTATATCTTGTACCTTTGTAAGATTATTATAATTTTTTTTATAAATATAATGGTAATGTATTTTAACCAATTTTTTAGTCTTTTTTATTTATTTATTTCAATTCACGCACCCTGATCTAGGAATATTTTTTATTCTTGGATCGGGTCGTGACATTCTCGCTAACTCAGAAAAAAGGGTAACGAAGGCTTGATTCACCACTTTATAGCGGTCCAAGAATCAACAAGCCCGGACAAGCCTTCCGACGGAAAAAGACCCCAACAACGTGTTATAATATAATTGAATATTTATTAATATTTATTGAGGCCCAAAAAGTCACAACAAGCCCAAAAGCATTTAAAGCCCAATATGATGTATACGCAATAGGGAATAAATTGGTCACATATTAATTCCAATTATATTTTCGGGAATTAATTTGACAAAATAAATATGTAAGCAAGCTTTTATACAAATTCTAATAGCATCCATGTTATGCCAAAAACCTATTTCTTTAATTCCAATATGTCACTAAGCTCGGTCACAAAAGCCCAAGTCATTGTAACACATGCCGAAGCATTCCAAGCTAGGGATGGAAAAAATCCCCGCGGGGGGGAGTCCCCATTTGGTCCCCAACCCTAACGGGGGAAGATTTCGAGGCCAAACGGGTATCAGGTACCAGGATCCCCAAACTTGAAAAATCCCTGACGGGTATGGGGAGGGGATGGTATTGGCGTCCCCATCCCCAAACCCGACCCGAAAATATATATGTTTATATTTAAATAAATATATACATAACTATAATATTTATGTTTAACCCTAAGTTAACCTCCCTCTCCTAATTCTTCCTAATCTTCCAAAGAATTTCATATTGATGTGATTTTGAATAGTTGAGTTAAACTTTATAATTTGGATGTGTTGAATGATAATTTAATATGAAACTTAATGTTAAAATGTATAATAAATATTTTTTATGCAAAAAAAATCGGGGATTAAGGGCGGGTGATAGTCCCCCGACGGGGATGAGGACGGGGATTCCCCGAAACTTATTAAACGAGGATGGGTTAGGGGACGGAGGCGGAGATGGAGAGCGGGGACGGGGATGGTATTGTCATACCCGACCCCTACTCGACCCGTTGCCATCCCTATTCCAAGCACAAGCCAAATAACTCCATGCCACTGCTGTAAGAGGAAGATAAACAAAATCCCCCAATGTCTGAGTTCAAGAACCAGGCTCCCAAAAGAGTTTTGAAAGATTTGCTGAAACCTTAGAAAACACTTTTAGGCTCTGTTCACTAACAACCAGATGAATGTAACAAATTGATAAGTGACTTGGCTTGAAGAGCTTGTGGCATGGGAGCTAAGCCTTCACAAGTTTAGCAATTTGAGAGAGAGAGACAAGAGCGTGACCTTCTTATAGAGAGAAACGGTTCAGAGTGGGGAAAGAGGAAAATTAGGAGGATTTCTATCTCAGAAAGGGAGAAAACAATGGAAGTAGGGGATGGGGTGTCTAGAGAAAATTTCCAGTTGCTTGACAAAGCTTGGTCGAGCTCTGGATGATGATTTTCTGGGTAGAGGAATCTCCTTTTTATAGGCGCTTAGAACCTTAATTCTATCGATCCTCCATTCCCACTTTTCCTTTGCTTCTTTCCATTCACTCCCTTTTGGTGAAATTTCTTCCACCAGAGCGCATGGATCACAGGCTCTTTGGAGTTCCAAGGTTTTCTATGCAGCATAGCATTATTGACTTGCGGGTTTTATACCCAAGCATGGATTGCCATCCATTTGTTTGATTGCGGGTTGCCACCCGTGATGGATTGATAATCCATATAATTTGGTTTATGGGTTTCATACCCAAGCACGGAGACTTCAAGAGAGAACTTTGTTGAAGATGCAAAAATATAAAGGTGTTGAGCCGAGGTGGCTCATCTTCTTGAATTGAAACTGCCAGTTTCATTGATTTGGAGAGTTTGGTTTGTGTTGTGTCGATACAGCTGCACCAAAATGGATTCAGCTGCATCCTCAACTTGTGATACTCGCAAGTGCACGAGCCGTTTGGTAGTATAGCATATGTAAGTGCGAGGTCGATCCCACGAGGATTGGTGATTGAATGATCCAATTCATTTTCCCTACACAAAATAGAAATGAAAAAGAAAGGAAATAAATAAAACAAGGAAGAAAGAAAATAACTAACTCAAGTAGATAAGTTCCCAAGTTCAATTAGATTAACGGATTGATTCTAGCTAATGTATGATTAAGCCATGGTGTGTGGTCATAACCTTGTGTTCCTAATTCCCTAATTTGATCATTAATGGTGATTAATCATTCAAACTAGCATATTAACTTATAAGCATAATGACTAAGAACAAAAATCATAATTGAAACTTGGAAACTAATTCAACTTGAAAACTTAAGAAAAGAATTTACATTACAAGAAAAATAAATTACAACTAAGAAAACATTAAAGAAAGCTAGAATTGAGAACTAGAAAGGAAAACTAAGAGAATTTGAGGGAGAGAAGGGAGGGGAGCTCTAGAGAAGTGTTTGAGAGCTCCCCCCCTTGGGGTGTGTTTACAAGCTTAGAGAACTTCCCTATTTATAGGCCTAGGGGAAGTGAAAATCAGAATTCAATAAGACTAATGCATACAACACTTGAATTATAAAATCTGAAATGGTTGTTGCACTTGTATTAGAAAATCTAAATTGGGTGATGCACTTGTGTTAGAAAATCTTGAATTGGTTGATGCACTTCACCAATAGATCCCACCAGCAGCCCTAGCTCATCTTCATGTCACCATGACCAAGCTTCCAACCAGCTCAATAGCTCATGCCTAGCTCACCATGACCAAGCTTCCAACCAGAAACAATAGCTCATCCTGAGGTCAGCATGACCAGCAACTTCAAGGGCTTACGAATTGGGCTTCCCTTAAGCAAATTACGACTTTAAACACTGAAACTTGAAGTTCAGAATGTCTTCTTTCCAGCCATATGTTATTTGGGCCAATCCAAGGTCGGAGGAAGAAGTTAAGGCCGAAACAAATTGCTAACTCATTTTCCGCGCTGATAAGATCCATCCTGAGCATGGTTCTGTGTTTGCTAGGTAACGGACTCCAAATTTATCCAATGGGGCTGAATTTTGGATATGTTATAGTACACACCCATTGGAACAACTTTCATGAAGAATGCTGCCTCATCCGAGCTGTGTAGGTTGCTGAAACAAAGCTTGCAATATGACCTACGGAACTGGACTGGCAGGGGGCTGTAGCCAAAATGAGTTTGTCTTTTAAGCTCTTCATCCATTCATCCAAATTAGGCCTTAACATGCTTGAATTGCATGAATTATGCTCTCTTGCTCTATTTGCCTACAAAACACACAAAGGGAGGCAAATAACTTAGAAATCTAAGAAACTAAGCAAAAGAAGTAAGTAAATAGGGCATGTATATGTATGAAATTATGAGCTTAACAGTTTGCTATCTTTCAGAAGTTTTTTTTTTCCTGCACCCAAAATTCATTGACGTGGTTCAGGCAGTTCAAGCCAAAATCCATCGGCAGCTTTACCGAGCTTTGCGAAGCTTTCATATCCTAATATGTGTGCAATCAAAGGAGAAAGAAAACATCACAACGTTGTTCCGAGACTTGAAGAGGAAGAGAGAGAGAGAGAGAGAGAGAGAGAGAGAGAATCATCAGACTTGAAGAGAAAGACACCACCCCTCGACATGAGGGAGGTTCTGGCTTGAGCTGATGGAATCATCAGACTTGAAGAGGAAGAACTGCTTTGTCAAAGCACATCGCCGTAACCATTTCTGCACCAAAGCACCCGCATGAGATGATCCAAGGGCCAATGACAAATTTTCCAAATGGAAGTCTCTGCAATCAAGCTAGGACCAATTCTCCCCGAACCAAACTTACTGTAAGTCTGGCTAAATTTTTCCACGAAAACAAGGGAAAATGAATTACGTGAACAACCAGAGAAATGAGACCGAAGCAAGACTTGTGCACACCATAATGACTTTGGCCACACTACCAATGACTGCTGCAATCTTAGATATCAAGTTGAAGCGATGCTAAAAAAAGGGATGCTTTCATAATATCGAGCCCAACCAGAAGATAAGCCGAAGGAGAAGCGTGCGGCTGAACCAGCGACCAACAACATTGCCACTGAAGAGGGATTGTTGGAAATCAATTACCTAAAGCTCAATGAACTGAAAGATAAACACAAAAAGGATTAAAAGCACAAGTTTAACTCAAAAACATAACCAAATCATAAGCTAGAAGGGTACAAAATGATATACAATTATGAACCGATCAGAGCCCAAACCGAGAAAAGACAAGCTGAAAAGATAAGACGCGTTTGTGGAATCTCTTCAGCACCACAAGCGGCCCAATCATTGGAGAAGGTCGGGATCATCTCATTCACCCAACGAGACCTCGAAGGAATCCAATTTCCCTACAATGATGCACTGGTCATAACTCTTCAAATTGTGAACTCAAAAGTCAAGAGGGTTATGATCGACGGTAGAAGCAGCGCAGAGGTAATGTTTCGGAACACTTTTAAGAGAATGAAATTGGTTGAAAAGGGGGTCAGGCCCAATCCCACATCGCTCTTCGCATTTGACGGCAGCAAGGCACGAGCAATAGGAGATGTGACACTACCCGTCATAGCCGCTAGAAAATCCCTTTTGATGACTTCCGTGGTGGTAGATGCTTCGAGCACCGACAATGTGATCATGGTGTGAGATTGGATCCATAGAATGGATGGGGAGGCATCAACCAGGTGCCAAGTAATGAGATGTTTAATTGACGATGATCTTGGTACTATTGATATCAAATGGGATTAACTCGAAGCCAAAAAGTGTTACAACATAGTGACCGACCTCAAGAATGCAACCAGAGCGCAGCCGCAACAGAACTAGCAGTTATAACAATTAACAGAGGACCCACCAGCAAAGCAGGAAGACAATCCAAAGCCCCCCACAATTGAACCACTTAGAGAGGAAATATTGGATCCTTATGATCCCAATAGAAAAGTATTGGTGGGCTCCCTCATATCCAACATCGAAAGGGAGCGTCTCATCGAGTTCTTGAGGAATAATAAGGATGTGTTCGCATGGTCACATGTGGATATGCCTAGAATTGATCCTAGTGTCGCGTGTCACCGCTTCAATGTAGACTCCAAGAGAAGTACAAGTGCTAACAGGGCGGATAGCGGCACTGAGCCGGTTTATCTCACGTTTGTATGACCGGTGCAAACCCTTCTTCCATGCAATCTGGAATAAGAAAAATGAGGTATAGGAGCCAGAGTAAGGGGAAGCTTTCAATCAACTGAAACGATACTTGATAAGTCCCCCGATCCTAACTATACCAAAGCCTAGAGAGATGTTGTATATGTACCTTGCTGTAACAGAAGTGGCAGTAAGCGCAGCATTGTTCCGAGAAGAGAACTACCTCCAACAACCTGTTTTCTATGTCAGCAAGAGCCTAATTGACACTGAAAAGAGATACACTCCTGCAGAAAAACTTGTCTTGGCATTGGTAGTAGCCAAAAGGAAGCTTCGACAATATTTCGAAGCTCATACTATTATAGTACTCACAAACTAGCCTATTAAAGCGATCTTGTCCAAGCCAGATCTGTTGGGAAGAGTCACAAAATGGACGATCGAGTTAGGAGCATTTGACATCAGGTACCAACCAAGAACATCTCAAAAAGGACAGGTAATTGCTAATTTTCTCGTCGAATGTTATCCCATAAAAGGAACGCATGAGAAACAGAGTGATACGGCAGAAGCGGGGTGTAGTGAGGAAACATCGTGGGAGTTATATGCATACGACTCATCCAACCGAGCGGGGCCGGGGTCGAGATTGTCCTTTCTTCCTCAGAAGGAATAGAGCTAGAATACTTTATCAGACTGGATTTCCCCGCCTCAAACAATGTTGCTAAATATGAAGCCTTGGAATTGAGATTGAAAATTGTCGGACTACTGAAAATAGATAATTTGAAGGTGTACAGTGATTCCCAACTTATAGTCAATCAAGTAAATGAGGAATATGCAACCAAAGATGAAAGGATGGAGGCGTATTGTTGCGTAGATTTCAACTGCACCAAAATGGATTCAGCTGCATCCTCAACTTGTGATACTCGCAAGTGCACGAACCGTTGGTAGTTTAGCGTATGTAAGTGCGAGGTCGATTCCACAGGGATTGGTGATTGAATGATCCAATTTACTTTCCCTACACAAAACAGAAATGAAAAAAGAAAGGAAATAAATAAAACAAGGAAGAAAGAAATAACTAACTCAAGCAGATAAGTTCCCAAGTTCAATTAGATTAATGGATTGATTCTAGCTAAAGTATGATTAAGCCATGGTGTGTGGTCATAACCTTGTGTTCCTAATTCCCTAATTTGATCATTTGTTGTCTAACCTAAAATTAAGCATTAGGAACCCATTAAGCATAGAAGAACAATTTAAACAAC